CATTATTTTGCTCATTGCGCCCTCCTGTGGCCTTGGGAGACAAGTCAAAAGTTTAAGTTTAACCTATTTAATCTGCATATAAAACATTAGAAATGAGATATTTTGTTTAATTTTAATTTTGTTTTTGACTGTTAAAACAAAAAAATATTTGTTGTTTGTCTCAACAAATTTAGTTAATTTAAAAATACAGTGATTAAATGTAAACATTTTTTTCTATTGCTCTTTGTTTTAAAAATGGTTATAAAAAACGTCAATAATTATCGTTACGGAACGATATGAAACATTATATCGTTGATACATTTTTTTAGCTATATTACCCAGACCTAATTGGTAATACTAATATAATGGCAATAAAATACATTAAAATGGAAATGAAAACTGAGAGCAGGAGCTATTTTGTTCACAGTGGATGTAAGGTATTACCAAGTAATTCGTACGAGAGCGACGCTCGCATCTCCAGTCCTGCTGTCATGAGGAAAGAGCTCCACGGTCTTCAGTTGCTCGGCGGTGAACACGGAGGGATTTCTCCTCCTGTCTGCATGGTAATTGGACTAGGTTTCTAAGCTGAATTAAGCCAGTGTCGACGCATCTGCAGCCTCGGAGTTCCTGCCGTGCCAGACTAAACCTAACTAGTTGCGCTGTCAATGTTATGTTCCATGCGAAGCTCCGCCCTACACATGTAGTGAGCTACTGTACAAACGCGCAGCGTCAAAGTTTCCGTGTGTCACTCACACTGAAGCGACGCAAATGTATCTAGGTGTGTGTGTACTATACAGTGTTGGGCAAGTTACTTCCAAAATGTAATACATTATATATTACTAGTTACTTACCCAGACCTAATTGGTAATACTAATATAATGGCAATAAAATACATTAAAATGGAAATGAAAACTGAGAGCAGGAGCTATTTTGTTCACAGTGGATGTAAGGTATTACCAAGTAATTCGTTAGGCTACTGTAATTAATTTTCCCTTGAAAAAGTATTGTATTTAATATTCTCTTGAAACTTAGACTGTTTTCAGGTTTAAAACGAAACACCATTCCAGATTTGTATTGTAGTTATTTGTGCATGTATGCAAATGCATTGCCAATATGAATGTAATGATAATAATGCACATTTAAAATGAAAATGAAAATGTAAAAGTTATTTTGCTCACGACGTTGGGTGTAATGCATTACCAAGGAATTCATTACTCTAATTACTTTTCCCTTGAAAAAGTATTGTATTTAATATTCTCTTGAAGACTATTTCCAGGTTTAAATTGAAACATTGCAGATTTGTAGTTATTTGTGCATCTGTATGCCAATTAATATAACTTTTCCCTTGAAAAGGTGAGGGATTACTTTTTTTGTAATGTAACTAGTTACTTCTGATGTAATTGCATTATGGATAGACTATATAGAAAAAAATAATTAAATTTAACATCTAAATTTAAGGTCTAATCTTAAAATCAAGAAAAAAATATGCAATTTTATATTATTTTTTTTGAAAGAGTTAAAAGAGAAGTTTCTTGTCTATCTTTGTATTGCTTAACTGGTCAGGTTTGATATAGGATTTAGAAAGTAATTGGTAATAAGTAACGCAAGAGAGAGTAATTAGTGCAGTAATCTAATTACACTAGTGAAGATTTGTATAACTTACCAAAAACTGTTTGCTCAGTAATGTTAATTTTGATTTACGAATGGGTCAATGTGTGTTCAAAAGTCTGAGACCACATTAAAATATGTTTTTGGAGTTGGGGGATTTTAGATCTCTAATTCAATGAGTAAATTTGTGACCTGGATCATGTGAACTCTTTTGTTCAAAAGGTCAGATTTCCTTCCACTGAAGCACAAGATGCTCTTTGGATCATTCTCAAATCACACTGGAAAGCATTATCATTGGGTTTCACACAAACACAAACTTGTACACAAAACAAATAGACAAACCAAATATTCCTCAGTTCAACTTTTTAGTCAAATTGTTACATTGGTAATATATCTAAAATGTTATGTATTAATATTTTGTTATATAGCATTATATCATATATTATCACTTATTATTAACACATTTTTGGATGTATGTTACACCGAAACTTAAATGACAACAATGTAAAAAAGATTTTCTGGTAAATTACAATATGTGTAATTGTTAAATAATTTTATATGCAGTATTCATGGTATCTTCTGTAATAGCCTATCGTGGCATTTAATAAATAATCCCGCCGGCAAGATTTTACAAAAACAAAACCAAAAAGGCACAAATAATACATGAATGTAGTTTCGGTTCTGCTTTATATATACAACATTCATATTTTATAATTGTATTGACTTTATGTTACACATTATTATGTCCTCTGCAATGAATAAATACAACAAACAAAAATGAATTGCTGGGTCTCAGGTTAGAATTCAATAAGTATTATTGTTTAATAACAATGCCATATACATTATGAATGGTATTTACAGTATCTCATCTAATATTTATTGCATCATGCGATTAAAAAAATCCCGCCGGCAAGATTTTGTGAAACTAAAATAAAAACAAAAACGGATGAAAGTAGTTTGTTCTGCTTCCGTGCTGTCGTAGCACCACAGATAGATGAACAGATCAGTTGATAATCAAGTTAGTTTGATAGATTTAGAGCTGGTAAAGGTAAGGTAATTGTTTAGAAACTGACGCACATGTTCACATGCCCAGTGTGCTCTGGCAGACACTTAATTGGGGTCAGTTCGTCGTTTTGAATGTTCCTCCAAAACTGATCTGGAGATGTGGAACTGATATTCACCAGATCCAAACACAATGACTGATTATGGCTTTTTTTAAAAGATCCCTAAATATCTAAATTGAATCCTAACATATGAAAACAATTAGCATGCAGTTTTGCTAGTGTACTCCGCATGCTGTTTTTTTGTGTTGTGACCCATCCATCAGCTCTTTGGCTGGCTGAAGTCATTGTATCCCCTCTTTTTCTAAAGGCTGTTACCTAAGAGCTGGCACTTTTCAAGAGAAATGTCACCATGAAGGAAAATCTCTGTTTCTAAGGTCTGACTCTAGCCCAGCCGCGGCAGGCTGAATGAATTTTTATAATTCATGCTAAGTGAAAGGACTCTGGCAGAACAACTTGTCCCCATGCCTCGGTTCTCCATTCATACGTCAATGTAGAGTCTAATAACCATGTCCAGTTTTACATTTCTTTTTACAGCCTGCTCCACCCCTCAGCAGGCCCAGGACAGGCTTTTATGGGTGGGCCACATCTTTCCTGTGCCTGAGGAGTCAGCTACTGGACCTTGGTGGGCCTCTTTTGTCACATGACCTGGGACAAGATGCTAAAAGGGTGTATTTGAAGTGTATCCTTCAAGAAAAAGCAAAGGATAATAGCAACATAACTGTCATAAACTTGAGACAGTGAATGTTGTGTTGAAGTTCTTTTATTTTCATTTGATATAGTTGAACATATGACTGTATCACATTGGAAGATTTTTAACTAATATATCAGTCAGTGACGTATAGGTGGATGTGTTGGAAAGGTGCTGTTTCAGAGCCTGGCAGCAGTCAAATCACTGGCGTCATTATGTCAGATAGACCCCCATTATGTCAAAACATACATCCAAATGCTCCCCAAAGAACCTTTAAAAAAAAATTTTAAAAAAATTAATTGAACAGTTCTTAAAAGAACCTTTTGTGGAATGGAAATGTTTACTGGATGTTAAAGGTTCTTCGTGGAACTACTGATTCCAATTAAGAACCTTTATTTTTAGTGTAGCAAAGAAAATGTGTGTCATATACACAGTAGCATGGACATGTTGCATATCCTCTTGAGAGCCAGCAAAAAGAGTTTTTTGTTTGTTTAGGATTTTGTAATGTTTTTAATTTTCCAATGACATGAAATGAAAAAAAAAAAAAAAAAAATGTATTGCATGTCTTTTGTTGTTGACATCAGGACCCACTTACATTAAAAATGAAGGCAAGAAGCATGTTTATATTAACATATGGGACCCTGGACCACAAAACCAGTCATAAGTGTCCATTTTTTAAGAGATTTATACATTTATATATACTGAATAAATAAGTTTTCCATTGATGTATGGTTTGTTAGGATAGGGCAATATTTGGCCGAGATACAACTATTTGGAAATCTGGAATCTGAAATCTGAGGGTGGAAAAAAATCTAAATATTGAGAAAATCGCCATTAAATTTGTCCAAATGAAGTTATTAGCAATGCATATTACTAATTAAAAATTAAGTTTTAATATATTTATGGTAGGAAATTTACAAAATATCTTCATGGAACATGATCTTTACTTAATGTCCAAATGATTTTTGGCATAAAAGAAAAATCTATAATTCTGACCCATACAATGTATTTTTGGCTATTGCTACAAATATACCCCCAGCGACTTAAGACCGGTTTTGTGGTCCAGGGTCACATATGTTTTGCAACTTGCAATACAAAAAAAAGTCAATGAAAGTTAATGGAATTTGACAAATGTAGTCATATTTCATAGTAATTTTTATTACCCAATTCACCTGTAATGTATGAATTTCTATTTTTGACAACTTACAAAATGAGTCATGCATTAAAAATTAATTAATGTACACATACACAATTTATATTTAATGCAAGGACACTTTAAATGGTTGAAAATTATTAGAAGACATTTTAAAAATGTTACAAAATATTTCTTTTTCAAATAAATGCTGTTCTTTTGAACTTTCTCCTGGGAATTGGGAATAAGTGTATCATCATATCAGAATGATTTCTGAAGGATCATGAGACACTGAAGACTGGAGTAATGATGCTGAAAAATCAGCTTTGATCACAGAATAAATTACAGTTTTTTTACTGTAACTTTTGAACAATAGTGGAAGTTTTAAAATAAAACACTACTGTACTACTGCTCCTTTTTTTTTTTTTTGACCTATAAATAATTTCAATACAATATTTATTCTGCTGAAGTAGATGTTTTTGTGATATTAGACATTTTTAAAAACAGTGAGAGGAATTTGTCATGGCCAGATCAGTTTTAAGTCTTCAAGAGGACATGTTTAGACTTGACTGTAAACACATGCTATCTACAGATGAACTGCTGGATCCCAGGAGGATACTGAACTGATGATGAACTGCAAAAACACTGAAGAAAGAGCACAAAGTCAGTGAATTGGAATAAGTCCTACATTATTAATGACTCCCTCCACAAGCTGATCTCCAGTTGAACCCCTTCATAAAGCTGAGAACTACATCAGACCTTAAATGAAGGTCTGAGCAACTGTATATGATACATTGTGATCGGTGGCATGTTTATCCAACCTCTCTCTCTGTTTCCACAGAGCCATTTATATGCACTCAGTAACTGGTTTAAAACTGTACAGAGCCATTCCCACGTATTGAGCCCAGCAGCTGAACTGATTCACATGCTGGTATGTAGTCGTGCTATTTCAGTTCACAGCTGAGATCTAAACCTTAATTATATTCAATCTGTTTATTACAGGCGGACTTGTCTTTAAAGTTGTAATTAGTGAAGTACTGCACTGCTTCTGGCCAATTCAATTTAAATTTTTAAGCACGTAGATGAAGTCTAATCATATTTAAATACATACTTTCTTAAATCAAAAACCATTGGGGGAACTCCATCATACAGTACATGCCTCCTTGAGCTGATGACCAGGCTGTGAAAAAAATTGCTGCTCTGACACTACACTAATGAATGATGAATGAATGAGAAAAACTAATAATAACCATACAAGTTGGTGCAAGTTGACTGCACACACCCATTTAAGGGTTTATATCAAAGGGATAGATCACCCAAAAATGAAAATTTTGTCATTAATTACTCACCCTTAAGGTATTTTTTATGAAATCCGAGAGCTTTCTGACCCTCCATAGATAGTAACGCAACTGACACGTTCGAGGCACAGGAAGTTAGAAAGGACATCGATAAAATAGTCCATGTGACATCAGTGGCTCAACCGTAATTTTATGAAGCTACGAGAATACTTTTTTATTTTGTTATATAATGTTTGTTTAGTTATTTTTGTATTCTTTGCACACAAAAAGTATTCTCATTGTTTCATAAAATTATGGTTGAACCACTGATGTCATGTGGTAGTTGCGTTGCTGTCTATGGAGGGTCAGAAGGCTCTCAGATTCATCAAAAATATCATAATTTGTGTTCTGAAGATGAACGAAGGTCTGACACCATGTCCTAACTACACGCGACATGATGCTGCGACACGCAATAAAAGGTATCTTTTCCATGTTAATCTGAATTTTTATCCTACCTAGCCACAACGGCGGCACGTGAAATTTCTATTTTAGAAACCGTTTCTATTTCCACGACGTTGCGGCCAGAGCAACAACATACAAACTATATGACAGTAGATAACTCTCCGGTGATTATGTACTTTATTCAAAGTTAAACGTGTCTAATGTGAGTTTGAATTTCATATTGCGTGGCCTTATAGCCATACTGAAAACAACAACATAGTTTACCTCAGATCTTGAAAATAAATTAAAGCAAAGATGTACGTTAAAACAATGTGAACCAACAAGCGTATTCCATAAAGATGGTATCAGTCACTCAGTTTGTACATTTAATAATGGTAAAAAGGTTTAATATTTATGAAATCCATTTCACTGCGCTTCCGGAGAGCCCGCCCACACCCACTTCTGATTGGCTGTGATATTTGATTGATTCGGTCACATCGCAGTGATACGTCGCGTCGCGTCTGGTGTGGACACCCAAATTGCTTGTCGCTGGAATCTTGTCGCGTCGCGTGTAGTTAGGACACAGTGTTGCGGGTTTGGAACGACATGAGGGTGAGTAATTAATGACAGTTTTCATTTTTGGGTGAACTATCCCTTTAAGAATTACACAGTATCATCCAATCCAAACTAGCCTTACATTTGAAGTCAAAAAGCTAACGTTGTTGGCTAAACAAACATCTTATTTGTCAGTGGTTGTAACCAAACATAGTCTTGAAATGAAAGACCCTTGGTACACATGGGCTGCATCTGTAATCGCATACTTTCTTTACTATATAGTAGGTGAAAAACAGTTTGAGTAGAAATCCGAATTCACAGTATTCATAAAATAGTAGGCGAAAAGTATCCAGATAATGCCATGGGAGAGGATTTGTGAACAACAGTAAGGCAACTGACGTACAAATGACAATGACATGACATATGTAGTACATCTGGATTTCCTTCATACGACACACATTCATAAATAAAACACATTTTAGCAGTCACAAATTAATTACTTATTCAAAAGCAGCGCCTATTCAGAGAGTATGCGATTTCAGACACAGCATTTGTTTCCCGAGCATGTTGTGAAAATACAATGTTTTGATTCTGCTTCATTATGAGCCCTTTAGTGTTTTAGTTTTAGAGCTAGTTAGTTGCATACAGTGTTTCCTGCTCTGATATTCAGGACATTGTGCTTTATTTGCAATGACATGGCATTTTTTAGTTTGAGGTCTTACACCCTGTTTAAGACTAATGCTCTGTGTAAAAATTCAGAGCGATAAACATTTTAATTTGAACGAATGGCAATTGATGCATCTGTTCAGACCAAAACAAACATCAGCATGTCATCAATGCAATTTACATTTTACATGTAAAACATGGCACCTACTATCAGAGAGTGAATTTTCATGTTCATTCAGCCTCTTTGCATTGGTCTGAAGAGACAAAATCACACAGACAAATCTTCAGACTTATTTAATTGGATCATATTATCATTGACCTCAAAATGAGCCCAGAACTGATAACTGTGTTGTATGCAGTTTTTGAAATGTTAAAGAGTTTGTTGTGATAAATTGTATTTTATTTTAAAATAATAATAAAATGTTACTTTATCTAAAAAAAAATCCTAGGAAACACTGGTTGCATATATACAGTACATGCTGCTTAGTGTTGTTTGAACATCACAAGTAATGGCTTTAATTTGAATGTGTGCAGTACCTGAACAACACTTCATAGAGTTTTCAATTGGCCATCACTTGGCCAATGTCATTAAGACTCTTATGATTTGACTCCCAGATGGAAATGGAAATGGAAAAGAGTCTTTCACACAAGGACGAGAGAAAAAAAAAAAAAAAAAAAACTAATATATAACAAATTTTGATTGTTTGATTGTCTATCCAGAGGTATTTTGAAAAGTTAATGCAGATTATTCATCTGCAAAGGTCAGGATAAGCTTTATGTCCTCAAAATAAATTGCAAGATTTTCATGCATATTTCTGCTGTTTTCTCCTGTTAAAATCCAGGATTAAAGTGATTCACGCAGCAGAAGTATAGCAGAGAGATGGAAATGCTTTCGGACACCTACGTGCAGCCTGATGAGGCGTTTCCATCAACCATACATGGCCATCAAATTTAAAAGTTTACTGTGTCCTAATGACACATTAAGAGCAAAAAAAGAAAAAGAAACCATAACAAATTAAAAAAACAACAAAAAAGAGAAAGAAACCATTAAACTGCTGTATTGCGTCCTTATGACCCCTCATGGGTAACTTGGCCACTACAGACTGAATCACGCTACACTGACTTCGGTGAAAGGAACATTACGCATCAAAACACGTCTCATGGTGTTTTGATCGCGATCTGACCAAACACTGGACACGCTTTGGTCCTTTTATAAAGATGAACAATTAAACAAGGACAGTTCTTGCTATGTGATGTAAAACAAAAGCAGAACGTCGTTGTCCAGGTGTCAGAACCGTATCTTGGCCTCCAGGTCCTCACCTGATTCATCTTCCTCTCCTCAAGAACGACTGCGGTTCTCTTGCGTTCCAACCAAAATCTTGCTGTAGAGTTTTTGTTGCTCCTCTTTGAAAGTGTCTTTCACTTTTCCTCGTTTCAACCCACCGTCCCTGAAAAAAAAAAACACAAATCCAGTTTCTTTTACCAAAAGAAAGGCCATTTACCTACTGAGAAAACCAGCTTTGATATGCCTAAGCTGGTTTACTGATCTCCCAGTCTGGTCAAAACTATGTTGGCTGGTTTTAGAGGGGTTTTGGGCAGCTGTCAGCTAGCCAGGCTGGTAGATCAGCTTAAACCAGCTAAGACCAGACATTTTCTGGTTTAACAGACAGTTGTCACTTATCTCTCAATCTACAGCTTATATTAGTGTTTTTATTACTTTTCATTGGCCTCAACATTAGTGTTTACACTGTAAAAATTAGCATAATTTTAATGGCAAAAGACTTGAAAATTGCTATGGTAAAAACCTGTTAATTGGTTAACATTAAATTCTCTTACTCTACACGGTGAAAAACTGTAATAAATCTAATGGGACGTTTCACAGTATTTTACTGTAAAATTAACAGCTTTTGGATGTAAAAAAGAACAAGCAATGCTATAAAACCCTCAAAATTCCCTGTTTATGTTTTTTTAACTGAAATTACTGTTTTTACTTATCAGATATATACATTAGGGTTCATCCAATGTTGGTAAAGTAATGTTATGTGTGTTACCATAATGGGGTTTTGTATTTGTATGAACGACACTGTGCACCTTCTATATATTAGTATTAACTTCAGCTTGTGAAAAAGCTACTTGTGATGAGCTTTGATTCATCATGTGGCTTTCTCTATACCACCTGTGTTTTATGGTGGTTATAAATGTATTATAAAGGTACAAAACAGATTTCAGCACAGGCTGTTAAATTAACTTCTTCCCCGCCAGCATTTTTTTTCCCAGCCACCGCGAGCATTTTTGATCATTTTCATAAAAGTTTAATTCCCCCCATAATATTTTGTTGTATGAAAATCTGAACATGCAATCTGCCAAAAAAAAAAAACGTTTTATTCTAGGTTCATGCACTCTTTTTTTTTTTTTATTAACACTTGAATGTGGGTAAGTTTCATGAAAAAAAGCATAATTTTGAACAAAAAGCTGAAAAAATGCTTTTTTAAAAAAGGCTATGTCCAGACCAGATTCAGAACGATGATCAAAACATAGATGGAACAGATCGCTTCCATCAACACATCCAAAGCTTGCACAGTCCTAAACCACTTCCTGGATCATCATTTCATTCGGTATTGTTTGGCAGTTTTGATATATATGCTGTTTAATGTTCTTGTTATTTTACATGTGCATCTGCTTACAAATGCTTTTTTCTGCTTCTTCTTCACCTTGTTTTAATCCAGACATTTAGTAGTCTTTCAGAAGGTGCGTAATAGCACCTCCTACCGAAAGCCATAACATTTTGTCAATGGCGGGGAAAGAGTTAACATTATATAATTATATGAAATGGGTGTTTTTTGTTGTTGTTGTTGTTGTTTTTTACTGTAAATGTAAATTCAGTACGTAAAACCTAAAATGTTGCTACCATATTTTTGAAGGAAAAGCTCTGGCAACCACAGCTGCCCTTTTTTACCGTAAATTTTACAGATCCTTTTTTTTTTATACAATAGTACAAGCACAGCTGCTGAGTCAGATATGACAGCTGACTTACCACAGCAGGTCCACCAGACCACCCTGTCTGGCAATGGCTGCCTTTACTCTGTTAGCAAACTGCACTGCATCCTCACCTTCCTGCAAGGAGACAAAACAGACCTTGACAAAAAAAAACTTGACCTTTGGTTTTAAAATTTATTAGGTGTCTAAAATTTATTTTTATACTTATTTTCAGCATTTTCAGTTAACAGCATGTTTATTTCTAACTGAAGAAACAGATCTTATTTTTCTGAAATAGTAAAACAAACTACAAATGCATAAAGGAAGGACTTCCAACATTATTCCAGTGATTTTCCAGAGAACTTTTGTAACATTCAAGGTGGGGCGGATCACACCAGCACAATGATTTACCTATGCTGACCATTTGGGGTTTTTTTCGGGATGGTAGGCTTTTACATGCGTTAAAAACAATGGTCTATTTGTTTATTTGCATGCCCACATGCAAACACAGATGTCCATTTCCAATCTGTGGTGGGTGGAGAAAACTCCAAACCCACACGGGCTCATTTGTGCTTGATTTGTGTATTAAATGCACCAATGCAAAAATGGGAAGGGCAGTGCAACTCATTCATACCACAGATTTGACTGCATTCACAGAGGATGCATGTGTGTGAGCCTTACCTGACGGCTCATCGGAGGCAGGTACCACACGCTGCAGACGATGGCCCAGCTACTCATCATCCTGAGCAGATAATTCACCATCCCAAACTTACTGCTGTTCCAGAAGGCATCCCCAAACCGAGGGTCATACTAGAAAAACTCAAAGAGATGCAAATGAAATACAATGCAACCATCACCACAATGCTGACAAAAAACAAGGTCTTTTTTTTCCCCATTTTCCATAATCATTCTTTTTTTTCCAGTAAACACACCTAAATATTCTTAAAACAAGAAAACAAATTGTAATAAGTAAAACATGTTTTCAGATAACATTTCTTGAATTAAGTTTATATGGTTTATATTTTTTTATTTGTCTAAATGTTTAAGTTATATATAAAACTTTTAAAACTCTAAACGTAGACCCAAAAAAAAACAACAACAACAACAAAACACAACAAAAAAATATATTGCATTAAAAAGCATGTAATGCATTTCAAATGTAGGTCCAATTTTTTCTTTAAGCACATTTTTTTGCAAGCTAATACAAAACAAAAATAATGCCAGATCTATTCTCTGAAAATAAGTCTTATAGTATCTTATAATAATATCTTTTACATCTTTAAATTCTCAAGGAATCTTGTTTTAAGGATGTTTAGATGTTACTGCTGACAAATGCTGATTAGGACATTAACATCCATCCATTTACCATAAGAGCTGATAAAGTAAGAGAAGATGTACTTCAACCTTTGAAAGCAGCTTCACAGCTCAGAACAAGAGTGAAATCATACAGCCTACCAGTTGCAGCGTTAAAGGGGTCATGAACCGAGAAACCAAAATTCCCTTGATATTTTGATATATAAGAGGTCATTGTACCATAAAAAACATCTTGTAAGTTTCAGAACTCAAAACTTTCCCATTAGTCTAAAAACAACTTATATTTAAGGCAGTCTGCCAAAACGACAGCTTTTGGAATGTGACTAGGGCTGCCACTAACGACTATTTTTATTTCGTTTAATCTATCGACTAATTTATCGATTAATCTAACCGATTAATTTCCTACAAAAAAAAAAATCAACAATTTTACTTAAGAATATTTTATTAAACTATATTTTATTAAACCAAATGAAATCCAAATTTCTATGAAATCCTCTTTTTAAAGCAAAAGTAAAGTGCATCCATCTCATAATCCAAATCACTGAAATCAAAGTTCAGTATTATAGTGTAAGAATGACAACATATCTAGTGTTCTAGTGTACTAATAATAAAATTATAATAAAAAACACTTTTTAAAGGAGTATTTACCAGAAATGTTATTTACCAGTAAATGTGCAGTATTTCTGAAAAAAAA